TTTATTTCTATCTTTTGGTTCTTTTTTTATAGCCTCTCATGTCGTTTATAACAACCTTCTCCTTTCTTCTCATCCTGGATTCTCAGATGACTATTCAGTGAGACATTTTCTAATCGACATAAAATATTTTGATGAAGTAATAAAATATTGGAATAATTATTTTTTCTTTTGGCACATCCTTTCATAGTTTCTTTTATTTTACTTTAACTGTTTTAGATTTATACCCCACACAGGACAAGTATGAATAAGAAAGCCAATGTGAAAGGGACAGCTTTTGCAAATGGTGAAGTTCCATTCCTCCATCATTGCTGTAAAATGTCAGATAGTGTGTTGAATGGACTTTCTTACAAGGATAATCAGAACAAAGATCCATGGAGCATAATTCACAGAGCAATATCAACTTTTGTTAAAAATAGTTTGCCCTTTCAATTTAAGTTTCGTTTGGGCTCTTTCAGTACATTATGGAGATTAGTTCTAGTGGTACTCTTCCACATAGTTCTGAATTAATTAAGTAAATCAATTTCTTTCACTTGGCTGAAAAGCAGCTTAATCATCATTTTTGCACTATTTCCCCCCACCCTCCCCATTCTCATCTCTTCTCTTCCTCATAACTTATACCAACACCTACAGAATTTTCTACAGAAAGATGACTAATGATTATCTCCTTCATGATCCACCATTGGTTAGAGCAGCAACATGTGACCTTTAGCAATTATAAAGCCCGACAGATTCAAAGAGAACTGGAAAATAATTGACGTGCAGTGTCCATATGGTGCTGCAATGTTTCAGTCATGAGATTGCAGCTCTCCATCAGTACATGACGATGCTTGCTCACAAATCGCACAAACCAATGTCAGCATGTGTCTATCTGTGACTCTCATAGACTCCATTCAACACTATCACCCTCTCCCACTCTTCCTTTCCTCTCACACCTATCTGGTTGATCAGAGAGAGGGACTGTTCCTCCTCTCTCCCCTCCTGTTCCTCACTTCTGCTGCCTTCTGAGAAGGAGGGATTTTTTCCTCCTCACTTTACTACTTTCAACTGCACATTTTCCCTCCAGCTGCTTAGGTGGATGGAAGGGAACCTGGTGCCTCTGGTGAATTTGATCAGCGTTCCCCATCTATATCAGTGCAACATAGAGAGTGTGTTCCACCTGAGTGAAGCCACATTCAGATCTGTGGACTCTACGAGTCTCTAAGAGCCATATGTGGCTTATAAGGTCCTAGATTGAGCTTCAGTGAGTATCTCTGGGCTAGTGTGTGCTGGAAACCTGACCACTAACCCTTTATCTGGAATGACAGATGCAGTTTTTGCCTGAACTGTGATATTAGAAGAAAGTTCATTGTTAAACTCTCATCCTATAAGTATCAGATTAAAGATTTTATCCAGCTCCCATTACGGTTATTAGAAAAACATGCATTGCCTTTATTAGGAGTTGGATTGGGCCCTAAGAAACCAATTCATTTTTTTTAATTTGAAGAATCAGAATTAAAAGCATATACACATGTTGCTCCATTATATTTTGGGATTATAGTAAATTAAAGTTTTCAGTGAAAATGAAAACATACACAGAGGGACAAGACTAAACAAATTAAACCTGAACAGCTTCTAAGTAAATGGACATGAACAGGTTCCTGAAACAAAACAAGGTAAACAAAATTATACAAGGGTTAGTGGATAAAGCATGTGAGGAGAGATGGAGAGAGCCACTGTGAGGAGCCCTATGTTAAATTATCCAAGGCACAAAGTCCATCTCAGCCAATCATATAAAATTGTTTATAAAAGTAAGCAAAAGTTGGAGATAAATAGACTGGAACTAATTGGATTTTTTAGGTTAACAAGAAGTTGAAAGATTCTAGAAGTGGGAAGTAATGTCTCTAGTAGAAATCACTGACGTGATTTTGGCTTCATTAATTTTATTGGGCTGAGGTTGCCACCCTTCTTGACATTGTTTATCTGGGGGCCACTGAAAGAGCCAGTGGGATGGGTGGACTGGAAGGAGCAAGTTCATCATCATGGCTCCCATTATCCTTATCACTTCTAGGGGCCCCAAGATCCATGACGACGCCACTGGGCCTTTATTATCCTGATCCTGAAAGATGTCCTAACCAGACAAAGCCATAGAGAGGGAAGCTTAATGGCATCAGCACTTCCGCCAGCTCTGGCTAGCTCCTGAACAACATCTAAAATGTGAACCTGAGGTGCCTACTGTTATGCCCTTGTTCTTGTGTCATTTTCTTTCCTCTCCTTATTTCGCCTCTTTTCTGTCTTTCTCTTTTTGCCTCCTGGCTAAAAAGAGCCTGCGTTAGTTGGACAAGACAACTCCCCCTTTTACAACACTGCTGTGAGCCTGTGCCCAGAAAGGCCAGCTGAAAGCTATGCCTTAGATAGCGTGACACTGGTAAAAGTTTACCAGATTTTGGAGTGTCTGATAAGACCATGAACTGTACCTGTAATTTCCCAAGGTTGCAAATGAGAGTGATTGTCAGAGACAGAAGCTGTATTTTCTATCTCTACTATTCTTTTGTCTCCCCTTTTGTGTGAGTTTATCTTGTTTTCTTTTAAAGGAAACAGGATTTGACTTCAATGACCACAGCTCGACCATTTAAATGAACTTTCTTTTTTTCCTAAAAGGAACAGTTAATACCATCATTAATTCAATTTGAAAAGACTATCAAACAGAGGTTTTCTCCTATAAAAAACTCAATATAACTAAAGGGAAACAGAATATAGGAAATTGTTCAGATAAAAGGCTTATTTACTTTTTAACTTTCAAATGCTTTAACTTCCTTTTCTATGTGTTTAATAAAAGGTTTTAAAGATTTTTATTCATGGTTGTTACAATGGGAATAAGCCAGTGATAATATGACACAGACACGATTCAATGTTGTAACAGTAAACAAGGGTCTTCTTAATATTTTATCCCTTGGTGGGCCAAAGACACCCCCTTAACACAAGAGAAATACATTTATAAGTCTAGAAAAGAGAGGCCTTGGGGGCCACATGTTCTTTGTCTATAAATATTTTCAAGATAATGGTATTAAAGAAAGAACAGAACTGTCTATGATCTCAGGGAATGTTAGAACAAGGAGAAGTGGCCTTAAGCTAAAGAATGGAATATTTAGGCTAGACCTTACAGGAAAAGTTTTAACAAGAACAATTGGCCAGTAGAATGGCTGTGCTTAAGATGCCATTACTGCAGATATCCAAGGTCAGAAGCAATAGGACATTAATGGAAATGATGTAGTGAAGAGCTCAGCAAAATTCAGAGGGTCAGGTTAGGTGACCCAAGTGGTCATTACTGGCTCTACCGCTATACAATTCCATGAAAGGGGATTGTTTTTCAAACAGTATTTCTTTCAACTGGTGTGTTAATACATTAGTTCGTTAAGTGTTAAAGCAAAGTATCAGTTTTAGAGAAAGCATTGACAAATCTTGTTATCTATGGTAATTGACTCATATCACAAAAACCAAGCTGCATGGTAGTTGCTAACTTACAACTGAGCTAACATAAAATATAATTCAGACAGGTTTTTCCAGGGTACATTTGAATCATCTCCTCTGTGACAGCATTATTTGTAACAGTTAACATGTACAGTTGTATGCTGTCAGGAAATGGCAGTTTTATTCCTGACACTACTGTCTAGCCTAACCTAAGGACTGATGTAATTGGAGTTGCTAATATTTATTATGGCTCTTGTGACCTACCAAAAAGAGAGCTGATTGCACATTGAATGAAAAGGGCTTACTCTGTATGTCTGTCTCTATAAATTAAAGAAAAGTGAGAGAAATCAGCTTACAGACTCCTATTTGCTATCGCTGAACTCCTATTTGCTATCTAGAATAGATTGTTAGAACTATGAATGCATTCAATGTTCCTGTTTTGATTTTTATGAACCCACATGAAAAATCACATTGTTCCTGACCTTTATCTCATCCTCCAATACCTCACATGTCCCCTTTCCTGAGTCTAGGTCCATGAATTCCTAATTTCCCATCACTCCAAATTGTAGACACATGAATAAATAAAAATTAAATGTACTAATGTCAAAGTTTTCCTTTCCTTTCCTTTCCTTTCCTTTCCTTTCTGTTTAATAAAAATACTTTGTATAGTGCTTTCCATCCAAGGATCTTAAAGATCTTAGCAATGTGGGTCAGTTTTCTTATCCCCATTTTATAGATGGGGAAACTAAGGCACTGAGAAGTTAAGTGAATTGCCAAGGTCAGTCACTGAGTCATTGGGAAAATGAGGAATTGAACACAGATCTCTCAGATCCAAGTTGCCTGCACTAACCAGTAGATAATACCGTCTCTCTGCTATTTCTTCTGTCTCCACAGATCATTTTTATAAAATCACCATTCTATTTTTCTTTTCTCCCTTGATATCTTTTTCACCTTGCCTAGTTTGCCTTCCTCCTAATCTGCCTGCCCTTCAGCATACCTTCCAGTCATCTGGTTTCCCTTTCTAACTAACTTGGTCCACACACAAGGAATAATGGGACAGGAGGATCTTCGGGACTTGGTTTTCTTCTTCTGTGCTGGGTTCTTTTGAGTTCAATGTCCACAACCTTTACCCTTGAGGTGGAGTCTGAAGGGAATACTGCCTCAGTGCTGTGTAGCTGGCTTCCATTCAGCATGAGTGCGGTCTACAGCTGTGAGGTAGCCTATGGCCAAAGGCTACATTGACAGCTCCATAGAGGAAGGACTGCAGCAGAGCTTAGTGCTGCTTGTGTCACTCACCCAGCTCTGTGAAGATACTAAAGTTTAGGTGTGGCATAGAAGAAGCAATTCATTAAAAAGTGGCTTTAAAGTGATAAATTATTAATATTTGTTTTAAAATGCAAGAATCAGATTTTGTTTTTTTGGTATTTTTTAATATCTCAGATTTACCTATATCAGCTTTATCACTTGGTTGTATGATCTCATGAACAACTGATTTGTTTGCACTGTGGTAAATGGACAGTTTACTCATATGTCTTGTCTGTGACTTTCCTTAGGAGTGTCCCAGTGGGATTGTTAATGAAGAGACCTTCAAAGAGATTTATTCTCAGTTCTTTCCACAGGGAGGTGAGTACTCTGCAGACATAATTAGCATTGCTAGCATTTACAGTGAACTGCACTTGTGAATTTCTAAATTGGATTATCAGCCCATTGTTCATATTCATAAACTGGTTGTATAAAGTTCTGTAGAGAATTGTAAGTATCTTAATAGATAGAAGTGTTCACAGGCATGTATGGCAGTAATCAAAAAGAGGAGGTATTTACAAGGTGTCAGGATATAGTTGTGAATACACAATCTGAGTATCTTTGAAAATCAGGATTCTCTCAGCAGCTCACCTCCTTGTAAGCTTTAATACAGCTATGTCTTTGCTACTCCTTGCCTCTCTCCCCTCCAGTAGGAATTTGTGTAGGAGGTAGTTTAAATGTGTGGGCCAAATTCAAATCTAGTGAAAGTGGGTGAAATCCCATTAACTTCAGTGGGATTTCTTTCCCTACTCCAGGTCTTTTTTCATCCTCTTTATTGAGTGAAGTGGTGTCCTGTGATGTTCAGTAATTTCTCAATCTACCCTATATTTCAGTGAAATGAAAGTACACAATCACTTATGACTCATGTTTTTTTCTTGAACCTGATTTTCCTTCAGTGTTTATTCCCCCCCCCCCTCTTTTTTCCTTCTACTGTTCCCTCCCCACTTCTTTTCTATTCAGTTGTCCCTGTTCATCTCTTCCTATAACACTGGAGAATGGAAGGTTTCCATGGAACTAACTGGCAATGGCTGTTGCTTTTCATTTTTATGTAAAACCTTAATTAGTAGCAACAAAAACTCCCAATTAGTTTTATTTTAAATAAAAAACTAGAAGGAAAAGGGGTAGTAACCATTGTGGGTTACCACTGTTGAAACCCACAACAACCAGGAACATTCAAAAGGAAGAACAAAACATTTAAGAAGAGTAGAACTGCCTGATGATTATCTATCTGTCTAGTTTTTTATACCAATCAGTATAAAACTGTAGTATCAGTTATAAGTTACCCTGGTTTGTAAAAAGCAACTTTTCCTACTGTAATCCACCATGCGTTAGCAAGTTAAAGCAACAGAAGAAAGAAGAAAGAATCTATGAACTTCCTGTCTTCCATATTTTCACCAATAGGCATTCTCCAATCTAGACCAGTATAACAGCACTCACCCTTTTTTACTCTTGCTTCATATAATGTTGGTAAAATACATGAAACAAATGTCACAGCCATATAGGGCTTGTTACTGCAAAGCACTGTGCATTCTCAGTTCCAAATGATTTTAAGAACAGAAAGTGAAATCCTGAGCCCATTGAAGTCAATGGCAAAGCTCTCACGAATGTAGGCTTTCCTGAATTGAGAAACATCTTTTCTACATATTTCTCAAAGGGGTTCCACACATACTAATATCATTCTGATATTTGTCCACATTAAGAGGTATCAAATCCAGTGAATTCATTCATCAATAATAGGAGGTGTTATGGAGAGCTAATAATGTGTTTATCCTTCTGAATAAGATGCTTGCAGAGGTTTTTATAAAAGTTCATCAGAATTTTATGATTGTAACTCCACTTTCCACCTCTCATATCTCTGCTCATAATTCTCCTTGAACCAGAGGAATATAAATGACATTAATTTAAAAAATATTCAAACATGTAAACAGCTATCACCATAAATTTAGTATATGATCTGTTGGGATTGTGAGAGAAGACAGCATATAAGGCCTGCTTTTTCTTTTGGTTAGACGAGTTTTACATCAGTGTAACTCTATTGACTCCTATGGAATGATTTATGATTTTCACTAATGTCAATAAATTCAGAATCTGTCCCTTGATGTTTCTGTTTTCTTAAAGTACTTAACACTGAACAGAGGTACAAATGTATGAATGAGACCACAAGATTCTTGGAGGACATTGTTAATAGTGGCTCAGCTATAATACACAGTTTCCTTAAACTCACTGTTCCCAGTTCTAATACGCTTGATTGTATTCTTCATTAGAGCTACCATATTGTTAACTTGTAAAATTCAAGTAATCCTTATAAAGTATATAGGAAGGATAGTGATTGATATGTCAGTCATATTTGGGGATATATGTTCTTATTTCAGTGCATGGCAGGTGGAATTTTTAAGTATCCAGCATTGACCTAACTCTGCTCCCATTAAAGCCAGTGATAAAACTGGCATTGATTTCAATGGGAGCCAAGTTAGCCCAATGCAGAGTTGCTTTTTAAAATCCCATACAGAAACTTCACTAATTTACAAATGTCAGGCCAGTTATGTAGCCAAATTTTCATTGCAAGAAGCACATACTAAAGAATGTCATTTTGCTTCCCTTTACACTCACATTTTGCATATTCAGAAGACTCCAATGTCCTAATTATTATTTTTAAAAAGTACTTTGATATTAAAGAAGTGAACTATTCGTCTGTGACTGTCTACTGAAACTTTATTCTTCTAGTCAGAGATAAAATATTTATGCACTGTCGGAAGAGCAAGTACAACACAAATTCATGTCTCCCTTTCAATTTTTGTTGTGAAAGGATATTTTCATGCTATTTAAATTATATCAATATACAAAGGAAAAAATAGTGATTTGATAGTGTAATCCTTACTCGGGCAGAAAACCGCACAGAGATTTGCTTGGGTAAGGATTACAATATTCAGCTGTGTTAGGAATTTCCAGTAGTTTAGAATAAAGATTTTGATCCTACACAGAGAGCCACAAGGGCAGACGGCTGCATGGAGCAATGTCCCACCTCTAGCTGTGGGCCTCCCTGCTGCTTCACAGGAAGAAGACAAAAAAAAATCTGAGAATACACTGGGGGAAACGATTCCTTCCTGACTTCTGCAGATGACCAGCTGTGAAACCCTTAAGCATGAGATTTTAGTAACATAAGACATAAACCAGAAGGAATTTCCCCCAGGGCTGCCGAGCCCTACTTTCCTCCTACCCCCACATTTGAGACCTTCAGTTAGTTTGCAGTTAAATTTTCTTGGATTGTTTTTATGTATATCGGAATATTCAAAAGAATAAATAATGTAACTCCTCGCTTAACATTGTAGTTATGTTCCTGAAAAGTGCAACTTTAAGCGAAACAATGTTAAGTGAATCCAGTTTCCCCATAAGAATTAATTTAAATAGGGGGATTTAGGTTCCAGGGAAATTTTTTTCACCAGACAAAAAACTATATATTATATAGATATAAACACAGTATACATTTTAAACAAACAATTTAATACTTCTTCACAGCTATGATGATTGTGAAGCTTGGTTGAGGTGGTGAAGTTAGAGGGTGGAAGAGGGAGGGATATTTCCCAGGGAATGCGTTGCTGCTAAATGATAAACTAGCACTCGGCTGATCCCTCAAGGGTTAACACGTTGTTAATGTAGCCTCTCACACAAGGCAGCATGAACACGAGGGAGGGGAGACAGCATGGCAGACAGAGACAGACACACACCTTGTATGTGGGGGAGAAAGAGAGATGCACACTGCCCCTTTAAGTAAGCTGACCCACTCTTAAGTGCATTGTCTTTTTATGTGGATCAGGAAGTTGAGACAGCAGCTGCCGCCCCAAGCTCTCTATGTCTCTCTCCTTCCGTATCCCCTCCCTGCTCTATATGGAGAAGCGGGGTGCAGGAGCATAGGGGAAGAGGGACATTAGCCCCCCACACACACACCCCTGCACAGTAAGCAAGAATCTCTGGGAGCTGCTCCAAGGCAGAGGGCAGGAGCAGCACATGGCAGTGTGGGGAGGGACAGCTGAACTGCCGGCAATTGATAGCCTGCAATTGATAGCCTGCTGGGCGGCTGCAGCACAGGGAATTTAGGGGAGCAGGGAGCTGATAGGGGGAGCTAATAGGGGGGCTGCCGGTCCACCCTGGTTTCAAGCCCCCACCAGCTAGCTGCAGCGGGCTGCTCTTCCTGCAAGCAGTGGACAAAGCAGGCAGCTGCCAAACGACATTAGAAGGGAGCATTGCACAACTTTAAACAAGCATGTTCCCTAATTGATCAGCAATGTAACAAGGAAACAACGTTACCTAGGACGACTTCGAGTGTGGAGTTTCTTTCTAATTAGCTAATCTACAGTAACAGGTGTGGTATACACCTAGAATCATCATACCTGTACTGTATGTAGCTATATGCATCGGCAGCTCATAGAGTGTAAACAATACAAAAAATGAGACAACTTCTTGTTGGATCTGCCCATTCCATTTGAGGAAGCCAACTGTGGTGTAACATTTCCTCTGTACGGCAATCAAGCGACTTCCACCAGCCCTCAGGACATTAATTTCACATGTTACCAGGCAAGTCATTTCATTAAAGTGCAGGAGAAGTGGGAAGGCGGGCTAGAAAGGGGACAAGAGAGTGATTTGGGTTCCGAATAACAAATGGATGATGACGAACTATAGTAAAATGAACATGTTTTATAAGGCAAAAATAGCTTTCAGAAAAGCTTTATACATTATAAAAGCACCCAATTAAGGTAGCTGCATTAAATTCTCTAGTATATAGGAAAACCATTGCAGTATCTATGAAGGAAGGGAGCACATTGCCTCCCAACATTCAATGTTCAATTCCACTGATGTGTTTACATACCACCAAAAATATAACTTAGGACTTGATCCCTAACCTTTCAGGTCACAGATAACAGTGGACTCACTGGGCCATTATTAAATTGTTTACCCTGGATGTTCAATGGGATGCTGGTGGGTGCATAGTAGCTACCACTTCTGTTTGTCTTCAATAAAACATATATTTAAGATGTTTAAGGTACATGATATGAATCTCAAACAAATTATGACTTTATATCTGTCCCTGCTGCAGCCTGCCAAAATGTTAATGTATCCTACTAGTTATGATTCCTGGGCATAGAAGAGAAACTGTATTTCATTAAAAAGTCAAGCTCTGTCTGCAGTGAATAATATTCAAGATTTAGTGGGAAAGAGATCACATTAAGTAGCTCTACTTAAAACACTGAAGTACCTCACTCTGCAGTCTTTTTTCAGGCAAAATGCCTGTCATCAGGGCCGGCTCTAACTTTTTTGCTGCCACA